GGAGGCTTTTTGATGATCATCCCCTGGCACGAGTCCTCCAGAGAGTGCTGATGCCGGAAGCTCCTCCTCATATCATATCTTAGCTCATTTTCTGGGTAGCCAAGCTAGGCTTTGATCTTCTGCATAAAAACAAACAGACCCTTTGCCCACACTTTGACATGCCCTCTATACCACTGTGTAGAACTCATTGGAGGTCAGCACACAGGAACTGCTTTTTAAAAATTTATTTTTTATTTTTTATTTTTTTATTTTATTTTTATTAAGAGAAAGGAATATTATCATAAAAGAGTACCTCCATAGCCGATCATCTGACACCCTTTAAGTGATCAAAATTAAGGATATTTAAAACATGCGTTAATCTTTGATTTACTAATAGTTTTATCCTATCAAGGAGTAATCCCCCTCTTCTTTCTTTCTTCTTTTTTTTTTTTAATCTTTAATCTACACTTACATGAGGAATACTATGTTTACTATGCTCTCCCCTATCAAATGGGGTTTTTTATTCAAACACCGTAGGACTCTCCGTAAGTGGACTGACTATCCCCATAGACTATTGGTGTCTGACTTCAGGCCAGATTTCAACAAACCATTGTACCTCTATAGCATGCCTACCCCAGGAGGGTTATATGGTACATGAAACTTCCATTTTATCCCTAATTGTGCACCCATTCTTATTGTGCATGTCCAGTAAATTGGGTGCTTGATACTCTCAATTACATGTGGTAGGCCATAGGCTGCAAAGAGATGCTCTAGGCCTCTTTTGCTCATTTGCTGGTCTGCACAACATACAGGAAAAGTAAGTCTTGTCACAACTCTTGCACCCAAAGGGGTCAGTGACCAACCAGTCAGTTGCCATGGTACCATGTTGGTAGCCACAGAGTCAGGCCTCACTAGATGGCTCAGCTGTCAGTACAGAGAATTACTGGGGAGGGCTTCTGGGTGATCACAAGCCACACTGCCTGCAACTCAGCCTGTTGAGTTCTCTTCCCCTCACCATCTTCCTCCCATACTGTCTCAGTCTTAGGATGGAAAGCTATAGCCCTCCATTTGGGCACTACCCACAGCTGGAGCCATCTGTGTATCATGCTTCTTTGGATATAGGGGCTCCTCCCTCCCATAAGAACTCTCTGTTACTAATGGATCTAAAGCAAATTCTTCCTGCCTTTCACTGGTATATGTCATTGGCCAAAATAAGTGTTGGAATTCTTCACCCAAGCGGCTAGTATAGAGGGCACTAAACTGCTATAGGTATGCACTCCACTTGGCCAGTGTAGGTGCCTTTGCCATGCCACTCCACGGCTTTTGGGTCCAGTCTCATACCCACCCCACTGTGGGATAGGTGGTTATTACCTTTATTGGGGCCTCCAGTGATGGGCTCTGTAGCCAGCAAGGCTTGGTACACAGTATTTCTCTGTTAAGGTGTACCATACCTCTGCTCCTTTCCAGAGTTGTGATCAGAATGCAGTAGTTTAGTGAGTTCATTAAAGCTGCTGCTAGAGACCTCAGAACTCTTGTAATAATGCCACAGCCCATCTTTTCTCCTCTTAGATATTATAACAGTCTAGGTGCTGGACCTTCTAGGTCTGTAAGAGAATTAAAAGTAATCATGGTATCATCAATATAATGGTACAGCCGCATCATTGGCAGTTTCTCCAATGCTGCTAAGTCCAGGGTTACAAGTCTGTGACAGATGGTGGGACTGTGGATGTATCCTTGTGGAAGCACAGTGAAAGTCCATTGCTGTCCTTCCTACATGAAGGGAAACAACTTCTGACTTTCCTGTTCTATGTCAGTGGAAAAGAAGCATTAGCAAGATCTGCAACATAATGATATGTCCCTAGTTCATGACTGAGGGTGTCCATCAGGACAGCAGTAGAGAGGACAGCAGCATGCAGAAGGGTATGACTTTATTTAATTCTCTGTAGTCCATGGTCATATGCCAGGAGGCTTCTGTTTTTTTTTACTGGCCACACCAGGAAATCAAAAGGGCTGCAGGTAGGCTTTATGATACCCACCTTCTCCAGTTACTGGAGTGGGTTTCTCCAATTTCTTTATGCCTTCCAGGCATTTTTTAATGCTTGGTATTAGTCACTCACAGAGACACAGGCAAAACTAAGGGTGGCTGCTCAGCATGTCTCCTCAGAACTGCCTTACCACACGTACTCTCAGTCTGAACTCACCTGCAGTGGTCTGCAACCATAGGCCCTGCAGGATATCTATCCCCAAAATATATTTGGGAATGGGAGAGATATACATAGTATACTCCTTTGGAGGTAGACAACCAATGGGATTTGGGCTTATTTCATTCTGATAGCCTTATCCCAAATCCATCTATAACAGCGGAGGTTCCAGGAAACTGTTTGGGGTTGCCATAAATCAGTGAGCATTCAGCTCCTGTGTCTATCAGAGCCAGGACACATTATACATTCACTGGGAAACCAATGAAGTGATATTTCAACAAGTGGTCTCCAGTCCTCACCTGGTCCCCCAAGGCTGGTGCCTTGAGCCTCCCCTCAGTCAAAATGTATTGCCCAATCATCTTTCTGTGCAGGTTCAGGCATGGTTGGCTCACTCTCCAGCAGGAAATCTTGCAGTTGCACAGGCCGAGCTTGTGACTCTGTTTCTGGCCTCTGCTTCTTGGTCCTCCACAGCCAAAACTGCTGATTCGGCTTCAGTTGTTGCCACAGCTCCAGTAAGATTTTTTTTTACATTCCCAAGCAATTTCTCTGTGTCTGCTCCTATTAAATCAACCAACATCTGGATACTTGTGACTTTCAAAGGGCCCTTTAGACCCTTCCTCTCAGTAGTGGACCATACCCCCTTCTATGGCCGCATTGCTTCTGCCTCCCTCAAATCTGCCAAAGTACAGGTAACTGCATTTATGGGCTGCCTTAAGTGAGGGCCAAGAATGGCCACTAAGGACTCAAAGAGTTGAGGGAGCCATTTGCAGTACCATATCCTTCATCCCTGCTGTAAACAGCTCCTTGTCTGGCCATAATTTACTGGGTTATAAATGGCGTTTTTTATGCCTAATTCCTATTAACACCTGTTGAAACTTGGTATATGTCTGCCATCTAGTGGGGGAAGATGGTAAGTTAGCCTGATTGGGGTATACAGTGTGAAGTATGGCCATCAACATTTTCTATGAGTGGTATTTTGTTACAGCTGATGAACCTGTATTGACTCATAATAACCAACCAAAGTCCATAGTTACATTATGGTTCACTTTTGGTGTTATACATTCTGTTAGTTTGGACGAATGTATAGTGACATGTACCGATCATTGTAATATCATACAGAGAATTTTCACTGTCCTCCAAGCCTCTGGGCTTTGTCTATTCATTTTGGTCAGTCTGTTTGGTTAACAACAATATATCCTTTGTGGTAAGCAAAAGATGTTCCCTTCATCACTTTCTTCCATTCAATTTATTTTTGAAAATCCCAGTCTGTTTCACCTGTTGAGTTTCTCATACTTTCTGTAGTTTCTAATTGCATATTCATGACACAGTTCAACATGTTTCTCTGTCCATTTTGTTTCTCTGTCCTTTGTATTTCCAGATGGCAGTTGGATTCTCAAGTGCGATCAGACTCAGGCTGGATTCCTTTGTCAAGATTACAGGTGGCCAGGTTTTGTTTTGTTTTGTTTTCTTTAATTAGGAAGCATATAATGTTTGATTGTCTGTCTGTGATTGTAAGTAGTCATGATGCTCAGTGCCTAGATCCAATAGTTTATTGTTACAAATTGACAGTAATCCAATTTTGTCATTTATTTTAAATTTAATATTTGAAATGCCTTAATAAAAAACTAAGCAGCTTCATATGCTAGTTGGTTATCCAGTACTATAGTTTATAAAGGAAAAGCAGGGTAAATGCTTGTTTCTTTTCCTCTATCAGTTTTTAAGATACCGACCTTTAAGAGGATGAATTAGTTTTCTGTCATTCTCTGAAAGTGACAATTAGTTTATTAAAAGTACCATTATGAATTTAAATATATTTTATTAGTTTCAATCATATCCTTATTTAAGCTTGAATTTTGTACAATGGCAGTCTCTTCAAGTTGGCTTTTGAGTTCTTTGAACATGTTTTTTATTTTTTCCTGGGTACCTAGCTCATCAAAGTGTTCCAGGATTATCTCACACAGTTCCTGCACTAGACCTGGAAAAATTGTAGTTCAAGTCATATTCTGGGCACCAAGAATGCTCATTTACTGCTGGGTGGATCATTGTTATATGGTTTTTCAGTGAACAGAGCTGTATTTAGTTTTCTATCTAAGGGCAAAATAATTGAGAGGATCAATATCATGCTTTTAATTCAGGACTATAGGGCTTGTACTTTAACCCTTCTCTCACTTTTATTATTTTCTTTCTTCCACACTGAATATACTATTCTTGAGGACATGAAGGGAAGTAGAATTAGAATATTCCTAAATTACTCATTTCCTTTATCCCATGTTGTACATAAAATAGTCTCAAAATAGTAATACAAGTACAGTGACCATCAGTTTTATTTTTGCCTTTGTTTTCCCCATATTCTCCCCTCTTTTTAAAAGTAGTTGCAACATATCTACATTGTTACAGCGTAAGGCCATTCTTATTATAGCTTGTCCTTCTTAATCCCCATTTAGCATTAGTTCTACAGATAATCATGATAATTTATCTTGAAAGCTCTCTAGTCATTTTGGTTAACTGAATTTCATTCATTTATAGAGTCCTCAGGAAAAGTTTGTGGGAGCAGTATCACCAGTTTTTGCACGTTAATAACACTTTTTCTGTGCTGCTTGTAATTTAAATTCAGTTTATCTGCATATAAAATCCTTAACATATATTCTCTTCCTTGTTTATCTTAAATTTGTTATTCCATTTTCTTAGGGCATAAGAGCATTGATGAAGAAAAATCTGATGGTCATTTTAGTTATTTTTGCCTTATAAATCACTTTCTTTTTTTCTAGAATCCCTACAGACTTTTTTTTTAATTACAAAAATTTTACTGGAATGCATTTTAGTTTTGACTGTTCTGGATTGATCAGTTACATGGTGTGCTTGTCAATATGTAATTCCAATTCTTTCATACTTTTATTTCAGGAATGTTTCTTTAATTATAGTTTTTAGTATTTTTTTTCTGTTTTGTTTCTTTAGTTTTCCTAAAACTATTATTCATATGTTGAATAGTTTTTGTCTATCTTCAATAGTTACCTATTTCATTTCCTCTTTTATCTCCTTTACATCTTTTGTTTAAAATTTTTCTTTTCAACTTTTATCTTAAGACAGCGTAAGGCCATTCTTTTTCTTCCTTCTGGTATAATCTTTATTTCTGAAAATATTGTTCTCTTGTATCTGTCTTGAGTTCCATCAACACATTATAGTGTTTTTCTAATTCTAATTTATATTGCTTTTTCATGTCTTATATCACTATTTGATATCTTTTAGCATGCTTTGAAATAATTGATTAGCTAGGGTTTTGATTAGCTTTGTGGACTTTTTTTCTGGTGTTAATTTTGTTGTTGGTAGGGACATTATTTTGCTCCTTATTTAAATTTTTCTTTTAGTAACTTTTTATGGGATTTGACCATGATCCTTTCCTATTGATCATATTTATTCCAAATTGATTTCCATGAACTTTTAGTTCAGGATAGTTTTTATAACTTCACTGAATAACTTCTCCTGTTGTTTTGTGTCACATTTTAAAATATGGTAGTTTGCTTTCTGACATTTCCTGCCTTTTTCCCTTTCTTTTCTCTTTCCTTTGTTTCTGTTGTCCTTGTCTAGGTCATTTCTGATTCTACTCCCAATTGTTCCTCCTTTGTGCAGGGTCCTGTTCTAGAATAGAGCTATTGGCTGCTCAGTTTTGTGTTCAGAGATGGTAATACTCCTTGAGCCATTTTAGACTGACCTTTGGCTCTTCTGTTCAACTGATAGTTGGTTTGAAAATAATCACTCCCATTGTTAGCTCCTCTTCTTATATTAGCCTCTGTGGTTTCCAGTAAGTACCTGGGACATATTTTGGTGTATTTCTGTTCTCGGGTCATTCGTAGTCTCTTTTGTTCCACTCTGTTTCCTCCTGCATAGTCAATGATACCATGGAGGCTTTGTGCCTATTAGTGATTTCTTACTGCTTGCTTCTATTTTGCCTTTAGGGGTCCTTTGTTACCAAGTGTAAATTTATTCATGAGATTTTGGTTTTGCTATCTTGTTATCTACTTACTTTTGTGAATTTTTTTCATGGTTTATTCAGAAATTTACAAACTATGCTGCTGCCACCAATAGCTTTGGGTTAAGATATTTTGACTTTCATGAGGCTTAAAATGACTTGATATTTTTCCAAGTATATGTGGTAAAAATTTTCCTTTAATGGAGAAGTAGTAATATGTAGGCTATGCTCAAGTACATAAACAGGAAACACTCTTCCTCCAAGTATTCTATGAACTGTGAGGACTATGCTCAGTCTTGGTCTTTCTTACTTAAATTCCCTGTAATAGCACATGTTATTTTTATGTTGTGGTTCAATTAGAAATGGGAATCTTACTCTGTCTTTGGTTTGTTCAGATATAAGGGTACAGTGTCTATAATAATTTCTTGGATTTATAAAGTACTTTAGCATTTGAAAATTGCTTTTGCATCTGTGCTTTTAGAGGAACTTCATAATGTAGCTGAGAAGTTGATGCCAGTGCCATATGTATTTCCATTCTTTTATAGCTGAAAAAACTAACCCTCAGAACCACCAAGTGACTTGTCCAATGTCACACATTTGGCAAGTAGCAGAAATGTAACTAGACCAGGGTTTCTTGATTTTCGAACCAGCAGTTTATCTGCATGGAGTTTTTGGGTCTTTTCCATTATCACAGAAACATGCTTGCAAAATGGCATCTGAATGCATTTGCCATAATAACCATTTTATCTAGGTTCTCCAGATGCTCAGTAAACACCCAAACAATATAATAGCAAAGGGATTAAATTTTCCAATATAATTTCATATCTCACACGTAATTTTTTCAACTTAAAAAATGCCATTCCCCAAAGTTGAAACTCTTAGTATTCAGCTTAACCATGGAAAGTAATTTTTAGGGTAGTACTCTAAAAACAACAATACAAATGCTATCATCTAAACTCTTTTTTATTTATGTCACGGCTAAGGCAGAAATGCTTGCATGGAGCTTGTGTTTGTTCAGGTGTACTTTAACACATACAGCGCTAAAAGATCTCCCTTTGGGTTTCTGTTTTTGGTGTATTTGGTTAGGAGGAGGAACTCACCTGGGTAAAAGATGATTGTTATATTTGACATTTTTATTTGACATAAATTTAACAGTGTCTGTGATTTTATAGTGAAGAGCTCATTCAATAATCAGATCCTTGCCCTTATAGGTTATTTCTTTGCTTCACAGTTCGGTTTTATTGCTGGATCCATCTAGTTCATTGATTGACAGTGTCAGAGCATATCATGCTCTTAGAGATTATTGACTCAAACATCCTAATTTTGTCCACCATATAGGAGAGGAGATGGAGCTCCAGAGGGGATATCTTTCTCACAAACATTACCATTTTCTTTGCTGTGGACTTTCTCCATTCCTCTCTTTTCATTATATATACCTAGTCTCAACAGATACAATGCCTTCAGTGACCTGGCCCTGCTTACCTACATATTCTTCCTATTTCATTTTTACCACTACCAATGGACCAAAGTTTAGGCTCTCCAGGCTAAAATACTTTCAAATCCAAGAAAATGCCATGTTCTTTTATCTTAAGACCTTGACATGTTCAGTTTCCTCAGTTTCAGAAACCATCCTTCATCACTTTTCATGTGACTCCTGTGTGATCAGCTCGACTGCACTTCCCCAGGAAGTTTTACTTGAGCAGCACACGCCCAGGTGCCTCTCCCAGACGCTGCCATGGGACCCAAATATACTACTTCACAGCACTCATCATAGCACTTATATTGATACTGCAATGTTTTTTTTTTTAATTTGTCAGCATCCCCCTCTGGACTGAATGCTCCAAAAAGTCAGGAACCATGTCTGTTTCATTAATTCTTAAGTAGCTGGTGTCTTCCTAGTATAGTATATGGTATGAAGAGGGGTTCTAGTAAATAATTCTTAAGTGAATGATTTCTTGTTCATATCTTTATTATCTTATACTTGTAGTATATGTATACACACATATACATATACACTCTGTGTCTCTAATTTTAATTTTTTCCTTAACTCCTTACCTTTATACATATTTTTAATTTCTGAATGAAATAAAATTTTCTTTTTCTTTCATTCAAGGTCATTTACTAATGGACCCCTCTGTACTTCACTATCCTAATTCCCGAGTAAATATTGTTGCTTGACAAGTCAATTATTGGATTATTGTAACTACAGCTATTATTTACTATTTTATTTGAAGAATTTTAATGTTCAGATGAATAAGGGGTTTGGTGATTCAAATACTGGTAGAATCAATATGTAGGTTATTCTAAAAATGGTATGTTTGCCCCATATTTTCTCTCAAATGCATTTCATTTTCAAGGATTAGTTTCATTCAAGAAAACAGTGAGGAACCTGGGGTGGATTTCTGTGGTTGAATGCCGTTGTTTATAGAAAGGTGAAGCACCACAATAATACTGTACTAACCCATGCTAACA